GAGACACAAGCAAGAGGTCATCCACATACACCAATACATACGCTGGCTCTTCATCCACAAACCTGATGTACAGAGCCTCATCACATGCACTGCGGTCAAACCCTGCTGCAATCAGGGTGGTACCAATCTCCTCATTCCAAGCACGAGGCGCTTGCTTGAGCCCATAGAGAGCTTTGCGCAAGCGATACACCCTATCTATACCATCATCAAATCCCTCAGGTTGCCTCACATACACCTCCTCTTGAAGGACTGCATTGAGGTAAGCATGATCAACATCCTCCTGTTGTACATGCCACCCTTTTACCGCGGCTTCTGCAAGAAGCACCCGACCTGAGGTGAGCTTGCCCACAGGGGCAAATACCTGATCATAGTCCTTCTCGGGCTCCTGAGTGTACCCCTTAGTAACAAGGCGAACCTTGTGCTATACCACCTTATCCTCCTTGTCAGTTTTCCTACAGAAAACGTACCTGACCCCAATGGCCTTCTTACCTGGAGGTAAGTCGACCGGCTCTGGATCCCATACACCCATAGTGCGCATTGCATATACCTCCTTCTCAGCGCCTGCCTTCCACGCAGGGCCCTCAGGGCCACGCAAGGCCTCAGCGAGTGTGCGTGGGACATCACCGGTGCTCACACCTACCAGTGCAACACCTTCCACCTCCCTGGCCAAACACAGCATGCCCTCAACCACACCAGCATCCCCCCCTACCTCCTCACCACCTGTACCAGAGTGGATACCAAGCACCTGCAAACCCGTAACCGGTGGTGGGGAGGTAGTCGCTGGTGACGGAGGGGCACCCATAGAGAGAGGGACAGAGCGCTAACCAGAGGAGGAGGAAGAGGAAGTAGCCTGTGTAGCGGATCTCCGCTGAATGACCGAGGGGCCACTGAGCTGCTGCAAAGGGGTGGGCAGCTGCTGCACCGACACACTCAGCGGTGCCGGTGGCAGTGATGAAGGTGGCATCTCAACGTCGTCAGCCGTTGCGGAGGATGGCGAGAGTGGAAGAGGGAGGAGTTGGGAAATTGCAGCTGCATCCTGCAGAAGCTCCCCAAATCCCTTTGCCTTGTCCCAATCCTTCCACATCACATTCTCAAGAAAATCAACATCCCGAGCAATGCGAATGCGCATGAGAGAAGGGTCCAGCATGCGTCAACCCTTGCTCTCCATGTCCACCCCAACACAGACACACATGACAGCCCGTGCATCAAGCTTGCCACCCTTCTCATGCCCATGCAGCATGACACTCCCCATGCAACCCCAAATCCGAGCCATGCCCACATGCGGCTTCTGGCCGGACCACGCCTCCATTGGTGTGATGGAGGCAGGCAAAGCACTGTGGGTGACCCTGTTCTTAACCCACACGACCCACATCAATGCTTCACCCCACAAGCAAGCAGGGAGACCACTGTCGACCAACAATGTGCGAATCCCCTCTGCCATCATCCTGTGCCACCTCTCCACGACCCCATTCTGTTGCGGTATATCTGCGACGCTCAATTGAGTTTTAATGCCAAACTCCGCCTTCCATGCTTTTACAGCTTCCCCCAAGAACTCACCACCCCTGTCCGAGCGAACAGCCTTCAGCTTCCGCCCACACTCCAACTCCACGTCTTTATGCCACTAGCAAAGGACTTTTGCAACTGTGGCCGATTCCTTGTTGGGGAGGGGGAACGACCAAACTTGTCTGGTGAAGTCGTCAATGAGACTGAGGACATACACCGCTCCTCCCAGTGACGGTGTGCGCACTGGCCCGCACAAATCCATGTGGACCTAATCCAAAGGCCCAAGTGCCCGAGACGCCTCATGGGGAAACGGCTTCCGAGCCGACTTTCCCAATAAGCAAGGCTCACATGGGGAGCAATCAGTGCTCCCCCCCCCAATCTCCAAGCCCAGTACAATGTTCCCCCGAGCCATCTATTGCAATGTTGTAGGGGCGGTATGACCAAGGCGGCGATGGGCAAGGGTCAATGGGGAAAATGAGGAGGAGGACCCAGCTGCAAGAGCACTGCCTTGTGTGCCCCGAGCAAGAGGAAGAAACATCCACACCAATCCATGGTCCCTTTCCCTCTCCTTTTCTCCAATCGCCAACACCCGCTCCCCCCGTTGAAGGACACATTTCTTGCCCTTGAATGTGGCAATGACATCTCGAGAGGTGAGGTGTGGGACTGACAGCAGACGCGTGTGCATCTCAGGCACAAGGTGGACCTTTTGAATCCTCAGCAGCTGACCTCCAGCACCAACCACTGGCACCTCACCCATGCCAACAGCTTTCACCACCCGTCCATCTCCCAATCTAACTCCCCGAACCTCTGGTGGCTGAAGCTTACTTTTGAAGTCTTACGCATAAGGAGTAAAGTTGTGGCTGGCCCCACTGTCAATCCACCACCCCTCTCGCGGCTGCTCCTCTCCCACTGCTGCAATTGCCTCTCCAACCACTGCCTCTGCCTTGTCATCCTGCTCCTCCTCATCCGCCACCTGTGCCTTGCCGTTGGACCCACGACCCCCCGCTTTAAGAATGCCGGAATGCCTCCCTTAGGTCGATGAGGACATCGCTGCCATGCTTGTCCCTCATTCCAACAGCCATGACACAACCCCCGAGGAGCCATGCCCTTGGACCCCCAGGGGAAATCAAGCACTTCCACTTTGCCTTTCCCTCGACCCCATCTGCCCGAGTTGGTGTCACTGCTGCTACCGCTGCCTCCATGCTTTCCTCCCTTGTCCCAAGTTCCCCTGCTGCTGCTGCCCACTTTCGTACCCGCTCCAAAGGTGGCTACACCATCCGATCTTGGTGCGACACCAATCCGCATCTCCTTGCTCCTCAAGGAGGTAAGCAGGTGATCCTTAGTGAGTGATGATGACTGGTTGTTCAGCACCACCTTCAGCATCTCAAAGTGAGGAGGTAGTCCTTTGAGTACCCTCATCATCCACTCCTCAACCTCCTCCTTCCCTCCTGCAGCCAAGTACTTGGACCTCAAGTCCTCGGCACGCGCCCAGTATGCAGCCACTCCCTCTCCCTCTTTCATCTTCAATGAGGAGAGCTCCTCAGAGAGTGCCATCCGATTACACAATCCACGCTGAAGGTAGAACTCCTTCACTCGTGTGTATGCCGCTGTTGTGCCTGCAGGAACCCGGGTGACTGCTCTTGCTGCGCCATCAACAGGTGCGCTGCCCAACTCGGTCTTGCCGCCGAACTCCCGTACCAAGCGAATCAACTCATCTGGCACCAAGGCATTGCAAAATTGGGCGAATGCTTTCTGATTTTTCCTCTCCCACTTCAGCCGTGCGTCACCCGTTGCAGGTCGCTCCTCCGAGCCATCAAAGTACCCCCATAGATCGTGCGCCTCTGCCCATTGTTCGAATCGGAAGCTCCAAGTCCAATAGTCGCTCCCATCAAACTTTGGAGCACTCTCCAGCTTCCCTTCGCCTGAGCCGTGATCCATTTGTGGCGCAGGCATTGAAGATTGACGTTGAGGTGGTGATGGAGGCAACGGCGGTGGCGGTGAAGACGATGCGGGCAGATTCACCCCCTCTTGGTTTTTGGAGCGTAACTCCTCGCTTCGAGCCCGTTCCAATGATGTATCGCGTTCCGGGATCCCACGTCCGAGCTGTCCGCTTAAACTCGTCGAAGTTGGCCGAGTTTCCGTCGACGAAGACTCAACCGTTTCGCCCGAGTTTTGGCTTGTTGGATGCGCCCTAGTGTCCTCTCTTGGCGCCGGCCTCCAATTTCTTTTCTGCGCTTTAAATCGTCCCCGATTTGCAATTTTCCAATTCGGCCGCCGGCAGTTTTTCGCGAATTGCGTTTGATCCGCTCGTCGATTGGTGACGACTCCGAGGCAATTGTTGTAGATCGTGCTGAGACCTTTCCATCCGTGTGATGCACGTCTTGATCGGCAAAGTTGACTGAGCGCCTCTGTGAATGGATGTCGCTCTTCTCGTCCTCCCAAACGGATCCACACGATTTCCAGCAGTTTTCTTCTCTCCTCCTCCCTTCCCATGTCCAGAGTCCACCACGGTGCAATTTCGGCAACCCTTCAAGAGGGATGGAAGCTAAATAGCTTCCACCAAGATATTATGGTCCGATGTCTTGAGTAACTCCTATTCCAACAGATTGCTAGGCCTTCCTAGCACTGATACCATATTAGAATGGACTAAGCTACTAGCTGTAGTAGTCTTAGAACCTCATCGTAAAGCCTAGGAATCTTAGGGGCCCACTTGGGCATGAACCATGCTAGAACCAAAGTGGTTTCTAAGAAGTGGAGTTCCAACAAGAGAGAACCCTAACCTATAGGGTTTGGGAGGTGGTCCACTCTAAAGAGTGTACACCACAAGTTCTCCCAACCCAACCAATGTATTATACACTACTATAGTGTTGATGTATCACTACATATGTTTATTGGAGCAACCCGAATTAACCTTAATTCCAACAGGTGCAACTATTAACCAGTAGGAATGTGAGCTGATGCATGTTGAAGGCCCTCAGATGGATCAACATGCCATGCACAGCATGTCATGCCCACATGCCATGCGCCATCCATGCAGCATATAATTTGCACAAGGTGCCAGTGCATACACATTGCACACACATTGCACACACCATGGGATGCACTCCGCTGCTGACATCTCACCCCATCCAATCTTCAAATGCGTTACCCACATCAACATACATCACTACAATGCACATGCCATGCATCCCAGCACATGCCATGCATCCCAGCACATGCCACACATCCCAGCACATGCCACACATCCCACATCCCAGCACATGCCATGCATCCCAGCACATGCCACACATCCCAGCACATGCCACACATCCCACATCCCAGCACGTGCCATGCGTCACAGCACATGCCACGCATCCCAGCGGCATCACCTCTCTACTTTAATCCACGACCGTTGAACCTTGTAGACCTGCTTAGCGTTCCACCCACAGCTGCGCACACACAGCCGGGCCACCTTCTTCTCATCCCGTATCGGACTCAGCCATCCTGGCTGCACATTGTTAAAGCCCATCCAGCTCCTTCAGCTGGGGTATCAGGCTCACATGCCGCAGGAACGCCTCACGCAGGTTGCAGCACTGCTGCACCTTCAGGGGCTCCAAACTCGTAAGTAAATAAAGCTGAGATGTGCTCTTGTAGCTGATCCGCGTGGCTGATAGATCCAAGGATTGTAACTGTGGCATGCTGCGGCTCCACTCCCACACGTACAATTCCACATCCACGCTGCACCCAGCCAGCCCCAGGTCCCTCAACTGAGAAAAGCCCTTGAAGCATGCATAATCGTTCAGGTTGGTGCCAGTGATGTGGAGAGAGGTAAGGTGTGTGAGAGCAGTGAGGGCTTGCAGGTCTTGATTACTGCTGGCCACTCCATGCACGCCAAGCTGCTGCAAGCCGTGCAGCGCACCCACCACCTGCCAGACACTGCCATCCAAGCACGGGTACTTGGGGTTAAAAAGCCGAAAGTCACAATAACAAGCGCGCTTGCTGTTGGGAGTGGGCCGCTGGCAGACCGTGGAGATATCTGGCAAGGAATCATTGCGGAACTGCAGCTGCAGGTGATGGTCCTCCAGGTTTGCTGGCGCCACCTGCAGCCTCGTCAGCCTGGTGAGGCGATTCAGGTTCCTCAAACCCCAATGAGTCACTTCCTCACTGCACGTGCAGGAGAAGGCCTCAAGGCCTGTCAACCCGCCAACCTCCAGCAGCAGGTGGTTCGTGACGCGGCTGAAATGCAGCTCCTTCAGCCTCTCTAACGGCTCGCTCTCATCGGCGTAGAAAGTGCCAAAATTCAGCTCACTGGGGTCTGGGCAGTCCAGAACGAGCTGGTGGAGCGGAGAGAAGGATGAGAACCGAAAATTGCCTGAGGAATTGATGGAAGTTCCCAGGACGGAAAGTGAGGTGAGAGAGGGCAGCTGGCAGAGGGAGGCGAGGGAGTGAGAGGAAATGGGCGAGAGGCGGTGGAGGGTGAGGGAGGAGAGCGAGGCATAGAGGCCGGGGCAGTGGCAGGGGGCGAGGGTGAGGAAAAAGAAAAGGCTGTGGTTAGGGTCGTCACTGAAAACGGGGTTGCGGCCTGAAAGGTGAGGTGCTGTGCTGCGGGGTCTTGGGTTGCCAGGAAGCTAGTGACCTTCTTCATCCTCGCTTTGACACTCTCTAGTTCATCCGCAGGGACAGTGCGCATGATTTTCCCGATCTCCGAACGTGCTCGGCCCCGCTGCAATTGCTCTTGCCGATCTCGTTCCCGCTGTCCGTTCCTGTCCACTTTATCTGCCCCGCCTCTCCCTTCCCCGCTCTCCCCCCCTTCACGCCTCTCCCCCATGCACCCTCCGGCACCTCCGCCTAAACCTCCAACCCTCGTTCGCCCCCTCTGGACGAGTCTGGCTGCCATAACATGTTCCTGGGCGTAGGGCTGAGAGGGACAACGGGAAGAAATGGGTGGGGGAAGAAGGGGGGGATCAATGTGGGAAAGGAGAATCACATGAGAACTGTCCATGTAATGGCCCATGTGGTGGCCCATGTGGTGGCCCATGTGGTGGCCCAAGGGAGTGGAAGCATCAAGAGAGCCAAGAGGGCGAGGCGACGTGGTTAGAGAGCGTGGAAGGAGGAACGGGGTGGAGAAATTGTGCGAGAGTAGCCCAGAGTGATGAGGAGGTCACAGGACCTTGTTGTAGTAGTACCCAAGAGGAGATGACCAATGAGGCTACAAATATTCCCCCACATCCACCATGCTTTCACAGCCACTACATGACAGGGCAGATCGCTTCAGCACTGCGCACCTGCACCAAGTCATAGTTGTCACCAACTTCTTCCTCTAGAGCATTCTCTATCTTCTCATGCCCACGCTCTTCCTCCTCTTCCTCCTCTTCCTCCTCTTCCTCCTCTTCCTCCTCTTCCTCCTCTTCCTCCTCTTCCTCCTCTTCCTCCTCTTCCTGCTCTTCCTCCTCTTCCTCCTCTTCCTGCTCTTCCTGCTCTTCCTCCTCTTCCTGCTCCTCCTCCTCTTCCTCCTCTTCCTGCTCTTCCTCCTCTTCCTGCTCTTTCTCCTCTTCCTCCTCTTCCTGCTCCTCCTCCTCTTCCTCCTCTTCCTGCTCCTCCTCCTCTTCCTGCTCCTCCTCTTCCTGCTCCTCCTCTTCCTGCTCCTCCTCCTCCTCCTCCTCCTCCTCCTCCTCCTCCTCCTCCTCCTCCTCCTCCTCCTCCTCCTCCTCCTCCTCCTCCTCCTCCTCCTCCTCCTCATCCCCGTCCTCCTCTCTCATCTCTTCCTCCTCCCTCTCCACTTCAACCTGCATCGCCCCACCACTCAACACATGTCTATGCCACAGCCCACGCACTTTCCTCCTCACCTCGCGGGCCTTCCCTCTCGCCTCCTCTGCATAGGCTAAGAGGGTTTCCAGGTGCTGCCAGGCAAAACACAATAGGGGGTGGGGGGACGTGTCGCGTGATTAACACTTAGCTGGCAACTAAGTGTGAATTACACAGCAGCCAAGGTGAGGTGTACTATAGTTTACTGCTTTTTGCATTTTACTTTGTTTGCTCTTTTGGAATGTTACTGTACTATACAGAGTCGAGCTGCTGAGGATTTCGAGGTGGTTGGGGGGGAGGTTGGTGGCGAATTCGATTCCAGCCAGCCTGGGAATTCAATTCGCCATTCACCAGGCTGGAAGGCGGTGCATGCCTAGTGGGCCGAGTGGGACCCAGCTAGCACCTTGAAGCCTACGCGATCAGCTCGGCTGACTCGCGCTTAGGAGTAGAGGTAGCTTGCGGGACAAGGCACCTAGGCAGGAGGGGATGTAGACTGGGGTAGCGCTCAGACTCGTTGCTTTTTGCTTGTATGTTTCTCGTTTACTGCAATTGTGATTTCCTAAACCACGGGGAACTAGCAGTAGAGAGGAGCTGAAGCAAATCGGCGGAGCCCTTGCAAGGGAGTTAAGTCTTGTTTCATACAAGCAAAAAGGGTAGTCAGGATTACGATTGTTGAGAGAAGAGGTGGCAGGATCTACTGCCTGGAGTTGCCCACGGTGATGCACCGTGAGGAATGAGTAATTTCGACCGTGAGCTTCACACTCATCAACTGCGCTCTGGACACCGATTCCCGGCGAGGATGATGGAGGGACGTGATCCGCCGGTCAGGATGCCTGGATTTCGGGCGGGCGAAGGAGGGACGATCTCGCGCGGTAACCAAGGCGGGGATCGGGAGGAAGAACGAGGTGTACACGGAGAACAACAGTCGAGCTCTGCATGCGACTCGCCCGCGGAGAGGAGTGGAGGGCGACCTGTGGGGAGTGGATCTCGCCGAGGAAATCCAGATCTGGGAGGAGACGATCAACATGAAGATCGACGAAGTCAGAAGGGAGGGGAAGATCATCGAGAAGAACGGCGGAGTCAGAGAGGAGAAGAAGATCAACGTGAAGAAAGGCGTAGTCTGAGGGGAGGAGACGATCAATCGGTGGAACGACGAAGTCAGCGAGGCAAGGAAGCATATCACGGATTCTCTGCTGGAGGATACGAAGCCATGGAGGCCGGGAGAGCAGGGCGACCTGCAGGGAGTGGAGAAGGAGGGAACACAAGCTGGGGGACAGGCAGGTCGATGAGTACTACACCCCCCAAAATTGAGGTACCAGACCGCTTCTCGGGGGCACCCGGAGAGGAGCCCACGCTGAAAAACTACCTGATGATGATTGAAGACATTCGCTACTGCTGGGATAGGGAGCGACTGGATCCTATTGAATTTTTCAGAGGCTTGGGGAGGACTCTCAAAGGAGAGGCGTTGACTCATTACCGCGTGGAGAGGCAGGGGCTGCTGATGCGGAGCAACAGAGGAGATATCTTACCGGCAGATATTACGGACCGTTTCTTGGAAAGCCTGCAGGAGCAGTTCCCGGGGCATTCGGCGGACCGGATGGCGGAGTTTCAAGACTTCAGAAGAGCGCCGGCAGAGTCGATGTTGGCCTACTATAACCGTTTACTGGAGCTGGCAGAGGATATGGGCTGCGTGGAGGAGCGCATCCTAGTGACCAAGTTCGTCAACGGACTGGATGGGGACTTGATACGAGACATGAGAAGCCGACTATACTCCTTGGGGGTACGGGCGAAGCTGCGACAGGTGTACCAGGTGGCGAAAGAAGTGGAGGATGGAAAGAGGTTTTTCGAAGGAATGAGGGGGTCAAGCTCCAGTCGGCCGAGCGAACGTCGGAGGCCTGCTTGGGCAGCGGTGGAAGGGAGACAGGGGGAAGAGGAACGAAGAGAGAGGCCGTCTGAAGATAGACGCAGGTGTTACAAGTGCGGCGAAAAGGGGCACGTGCGGAAGGACTGCGCCATAGACATAGTGTGCGACACCTGCAAGATGAAAGGACATTTCAGACGTGACTGCCCCAAGGCACCTATCTGCACCGGGTGTGGGAAAAGGGGGCATACTGAAGACAGGTGCTACAGCAAGGGAGAGAGAATGCGAGGAAAATCGGCAAGGGAGTTACAGTTAGAGAGAGAGGTGGCGAAGCTGAAGGGACAGTTGGAGAAGACTGAGATTAGTGAGGACCCTGAGAAGGCATTGCTGGCTTGGGAGGACGATGAAGAGGAGGAGTATGAGAGAGAGGAGGCAGAGTACGGGGCCATGGCCATACCACCTAGAGACCGAGAGGAGTTGGGGCTGCGCAGCGGCGGGAAGGATGGCAGGACAGAGCAGAAGCAGCCTGAAAGGAGAACCCCTCGGCAACAAGAAGAAAGCCATAAGCCGAGGACGGCTCGACGGCATCCTGAGGAGAGACTCGTCTGCCAACCCACGGCCCTGGTGGTAGAACCTAAGGCAGTGGCTGTCAGGGGCATATTAGTGGAGAACGCCGTGGTGGATACAGGCGCACAGAGTGTCCTGCTGGGAAGGAAGCTGACAGAACAGTTACGGGAGAAAGGGGACTTGGAAATAGTAAACAGAGGCATACTGATCATGACAGCCGAGGGAGGGGCACCAAAGTGGATGCCCTGTACTAAGGACCCCATCGAGATTACTCTGCAGCCGGGAGAGAAGGGAGAAACGACGATAAGAGTGCAATGTGGGCTGACCGAATCGGAGGATTATGATGTTCTGCTGGGGATGGAGCTGCTATTCAAGATAGGTACAACAATTTGTACCTGGCAGGAACAGGTGCTCTACCGCTCGGATTTCTGGATTGAGGGAAAGGAGTTGAGTGAGCTGCCAGTGCGGTTTGTCAAGACAGAACCGAAGAAGGCTTGGAGGGCGGAGGGCATGAGAAGAGAGAGCGTAAGGAGGGGGAGTACCAAAGAGGGCAAGGTCGGAGCTAACCTGAACCAGTATAGCGTTACCTTAGTGGAGCTGTTTGGAGGGCTGGGGGCAGGCTTAGCGGCGGCACTGGAAGCAGGGCTGAAGGTGAAAAGATGGGTGTATGTGGAAATAGACCCGGAGGTGAGGAGGATGGCTTGGAAGCATGCACAGATACTGCAGCAGCGGTACCCAGCTCAACTGGCGAAGGAAGTGATACGGGAGGCCATGCAGAATGAGAAGTGGGATGTGGGACAGCTTACCAAGGAAGATGTGAACCGCTGGGGAAAGGTGGACCTGTTGGTAGCAGGGTGGGAGTGCCAGGGTACTTCCCGAGCGGGGAAGGGAAGAGGAATGCAGGATGACCGCACGGCGATGGTGACAACACTGCTGACGATTATGAGGTGGGCGAGAGAATCTGGCGGGGAATATGCGTACATCCTAGAACATGTGGATATGAGGAGTGATAGCAGGGAGCCGGTCCGAGCCGTACGCGAACTGGTGGAAGCAGAATTGGGAAGGGGAGTGAGTTGTGACGGGGCACAGCTGGGGGCAAGGTGTCATAGAGTGCGGCAGTACTGGCAGAACGTCCTGCCAGAAGGAGAACTGAGGGCGAGATTAGCAAGGGTGGAGAGAGATGAGAGCCGAATCGTGGAAGACATTCTGGAACCAGGGAGAGTGGCCGCCCCAGTGGTAAAGCCAGATCATCCGCGACAGTATCAGTGTAACCGAGTGGGGGAAGCGAGGAGGGCCTGGCCGACACTGGTGGCCTATGCAAAGGCACGGGGATTTGTCGAAGTGGAAGGGACTCCAGGTCCAGGGATGGTGTATGATCACCGTAAGAAAAGATGGGAGGAGCCGACTGCTTTGGAGAGGGAATTAGCCATGGGGTACCTGCCGGGGGCAACTGCAGCAGATGGAGTAGGGGAGGAGGTGCGCAAAGCTGCCTTGGGCCGAGCCATAGACCAGCACTCACTGCGATGGCTAATTAGTGAGATGAGAAAGGGGCCAGCCGAGAAAAAGGGAAAGACGGAAGAGGAGAAGTGCAGGGGCAGCAAGCAGGCTGCTTACGCCGCTGTCAGCAAGCTCACAGACGAGAAGGAGATCAAAACTGCACCACCAGTAGGGACGGAAGCAGAGCCGGGCAAAACCTGGGAGCTGGGGGCAGGTATAGGGGAGCAAGCAGCCGAAGCAATCAGGGAGGTGTTGCAGCAGCATAGGGGCACCTTCGCCTATAACCTGCAGGAATTGGGGAGATACAAGGGGAGAGAGCTGGAGCTGAACCTCACGACTGAGCTACCTACATACCAACGCAGGAGGCGAATGAATGCGGAGGATGCAGCCATCTGCAAGGAGAAATGTGAGGAGTTGCTAGCTGCAGGGATTATTCGCCCGTCAGAATCAAGTTACGCGGCGGCCACGGTGGTGGCTGCTAGGAAGGACATCACGGGAAAGATTCTAGCGAAGCGGATGTGCGGGGATTTTCGGGAGCTGAACAAGATTACAAGCCCAGACAGATACCCTATGCCGACTGCTGAAGACATTTTCGACCGGCTGGAAGGGGCCACCGTCTTTACCACCTTGGACCTGCGGCAGGGCTTCAATCAAATAGGCATTAGAGAAGCAGATAAACGGAAAACAGCATTTCACGGGGTGGACGGTTTGTATGAGTACAACGTTATGCCTTTCGGGCTTCGTAACGCACCAGCAGTGTTCCAGAGAGCCATGGATCAAGTGCTGAAGGGGGTTCCAGCCGCAGCATGCTACATTGATGACGTGTTGATTTACAGCAGCAGCAAAGAACAGCATGTGCAAGATCTGAAGCAGACTCTGGAGGCAATAGCAGCTGCGGGGCTGACGTGTCACCCAGATAAGTGTAAGATAGCGAGGCACACGGTGGCTTACCTGGGGTTTGAAGTGAAGGGCGGTCGGCTGGCCATACAAGAGGCAAAGGTTAAGGTGCTGGAGAACCTGGCAGCGCCAAAGGATAAGACAGGGCTGCGGGCGTTACTCGGCTTCCTGAATTATTACAGGAAGTTTGTGTCAAACTTCAGTCGCCGTGCCTACGCGCTGAACCAGCTGCTGAGGGAAGGGAAGAGCTGGCAATGGGGAGAGGTGGAGGAGGCAGCAAGGCAGGACTTGCTCGCAGCAGTTAGGACAGGGACCTTACTGCAGATACCGAGGGCAGAAGCGCCTTTCATCCTGTACACGGACTGGAGCAGTACGGGAATGGGAGCGGTGCTCTGCCAAGAAATCGAGGGAGAGGAAAGAGTGATAGCCTTTGCCAGCCGAAGCTGCAGCCCATCCGAGGCTAACTACTGCTCATACGAGGGAGAGGGCCTGACGGCAGTGTGGGGAATCACGCATTTCAAGGTATACCTGCAGGGCCGGCACTTCACATTAGTGACTGATCATCAGCCACTGCTATGGTTGATGACTAATCAAGAGCTGACGGGAAGAAACGCTCGATGGGCTATCAAGTTGTTGGGATTTGACTTTGAGATCCGGCACCGACCGGGTAAAACACTGCAGCATGCAGATGGGCTGTCAAGGAACCCACCACCGATGCAGCCGGTGGCGCAGCTGGCGGCCTTAGCCCACACCGTGGCCGTAAGCTGGGGGCAGGAGAAGGGAGAGAAGCGGTTAGCAGATATATGGGAGGACGAGGAGACCATGAGCTGGATCAAAGGGGAGCCACTGGAGGAGGAAGGCGTAAGTGAGAGAGCAAGAGCCAGAGGGCAGCATTACAGATGGTTTCAGGAGCAGCTGCAGCTGAGGACCAGCGAAGGATGGAGGGTAGTGCCGCAGCCGCAAGAGAGGAACAGGATCATGGGGAAGGTGCATGCGAAGCTGGGACATTACGGCATCACCAGGACACGGCAGCTGCTGAGCACCATGTACTGGTGGGCAAGCATGGGGAAGGATGTGGCAGGACTGGTAGCCAGCTGCGAGGCTTGTCAAAGGAATAAAGCAAGGCTGGAAAAGGAGAGGGAGGAGCTGCACTCACTACCGATTCGGGGGTTAGGTTACAGGTGGTCGCTGGACCTGGCAGGAGAGTTACCATTATCAAAAGGAGGGAAGCAGTACATCCTGATCATGGTTGAGCACACGAGCAAATGGGTGGAGGCGCGAGCATTACCAAGCAAGAGTAGCGCACTGATAGCGGACGCATTCGAGGAGTTAGTACTGACCAGGTACGGTGCATGTGGGGAGGTGCTTACCGATCAAGGGACAGAATTTCAAGGGAGCTTTGATGAGCTGCTAGAGGAGATGGGCATTACGCATCGTGTCACCTCAAGGTATCACCCTCAATCGGACGGGCTGACAGAGAGGCTCATACAAACCGTGAAGAAAGGACTTCGGGCCTATGGAGAGACACACAAGAGGAGTTGGGACAGGGATCTCTGGTGGGTGCTTGCGGGATACCGGTTTGCGAAGCAGGCAGCGCTGAAGCATCTGTCCCCGTATCATCTACTGTACGGACGGGACCCGGTGCTACCTGTGGATGCACCGAAGCTGCTCTCGGCGACGATTGAAGCGGACGAGCCGAGCCTGTGGGCGGGATTAGCGGAGAAGAGGGCGAGGTATCTGAAAGAGCTGACTCCAGCTGCCTTGGATAATCTACACGTGGCGCAGCTGAGGGATGCAAGGCGGTACCAGCAGCGCAAAGCAGGAGGGATGGGAGGAAAGAGTCACCAAGTGGAAGCGGGGCAGGAGGTGTACCTGCGCAGGGCTAAGCGAGATACGCTGGACTTAGCTGTGGGACCGGAGCGATGGAGGGTGAAAGAGGTAAGGGAGTCGGGGGTGCTAGTGCTGGAGGATGATCGAGGGGAGTACCTGAAGGAGCATATCACCAACGTGGCCAGGGCGGGAAGGGAGAAGCCTCAGGCATTGGATCCCGTGTCTGGAGCAGCTCGGGTGCGTGCTCAGTCACGGGAGGGGGCAGGGAAGCCTGAGATACGAGGAGGGGATCAGAACAGAGTGATTACATACGCCAGGAGGAAGAAGGGATGAGCCGGTCACCTGGATGAGAGGTGGAGGGAGAGGGAGTGAGGAAGTCAGGCAGGGATGCAAGGGAGAGTGAGAAGGAAGGGACAGCAGAGGGGATTCACGACAGACGGGGGGGGGGAGGGGGAAAGAAGGGGGGTTGGAAGGCGTAAGGGGGGGAAATTGGAAGCGATGGGGTAGTGTTGGGGCAACGATGAGAGACGGCGCCTGTGTGGCCGCGCGAAAGAGCTGGCAGGTGATGTATGGCAGGCGCGAGTTAGAAGGCAGGGAGAACAGAATGGGGGAATGAGATGGGAACTGGGATAGGGGAATGGGATTGGGGAACGGGATAGGGGAATGGGATGGGGGAATGAAATTGGGGGAATGGGATGGAGGAATGGGACAGGGATTGGATGGGTGGCATGGGATGGTTGGCATGGGGTGGTGAGCAATGGAAGTTTATGTTTAAGGTTATGGTGGGAGGTGAGAGGGACGGCGAGAGTAGGTATGAAGGAAGGAAGTGAGCAGCGAGGGTAGCAAGAGTGGTGGACGGAGGGTGTAGTATGGGGATGGGAAGCATAAAGCATGTTCTGCCGCAGAGCAGATAGGAACGCACAGCACATGTCAGAGCTGCTTATAGAGCACCGCACGCGTGACTGTAAAGCGCAATCTGTTACGTGGCATGGCAAGAAGCATCACTATGTGCCAGGAGAGATGCGTACATGGGGTGCATGGGCTGGGGGGGCGTGAAACTGGGCCCATGGGGGGAAGGGCATGCGATGAGGGTCACGGAATGAGGGCTCGGAATGGATTAATGATAGCATGCCCAACGCTACGCACCTCCCTCATGCGGTGCGCATCAGCAGAGCCGTCCGCCATGCGAGCTCGCTTGCGCCCGGCACTGCCTCCAGGAGCAGCTTGAAAGGCCGTCTCGTCCTCTAGGAAGCAGCCAAACAGCGCCGCCCGCACCACTACCTCCCGCACCTTCTCTTCAACGCCCTCCTTCATTCCAGCCACCGCCCTCGCTGCCTCCGTCAACGCTGCTTTTAGCTCCCTTTTGCGCCTCTTCGACTTCGCTAGAGCCTCCCTCGCTTTTCTCGCGACCTCTCTCCTCTTACTCGCCTCTTCCTCTCTCGCTCTTATCCTCTCTTCTTCTCTTATTCTCATTCTCTCCTCGACTCTCGCTCTCTTCCTCGTTTCCTCCATCTTTCTCTTTCTCGCTTCCTCTTGCACCCTCGTCCTTTGTTCATCTCTCACCCTCTCCCTCTCTTCGACTCTCACTATCTCCCTCTCTTCGACTCTCACTCTCTCCCTCTCTTCCTCTCTCACCCTCTCTCGCTCTTCCTCTCTCACCTTCTCCCTTTCTTCTAATCTCACCCTCTCCCTCTCTTCCTCTCTCAACCTCTCCCTTTCTTCCGCTCGCACACTCTGTCTCTCTTCCTCCCTCATCCTCTTCCTCTCTTCCTCTATCACACACTTCCACTCTTCCTCTCTCGCCCTATTTCTCTCTCCCTCTATCTTCCTTTCTTCCTCTCTCACCCTCCTCCTCTCGTCCTCTCTCACTCTCTCCCTCTCCTCCTCCCTCTCCCTCTCTTCCTCTCTCTTTCTCTCCTCCATCTCCCCAAGCCTCTCCGCCACTCTAGCCGTCACCTCCACCTCCACGGCGCGCAGCACGCACCATCGGCTCACACCCATCAGCTGCTCCAGAGACATTTCCTCCGCGCTCTCCGTCTCTCCGCCCATCATGCCGCTCCCCGCCCCTCCGCCCATCATGGCGCTCACGCGCATCGCCACGTCGGCCTGCCGCGTCCGCGCAAGCATTCCGCGTCCGTCCTGTTCTCTCGTTTCCGCGCCTTCCCCTTCCTCCGCTGTTGCGCCTTTCTCAGCGTGAGTCACGCGCCCTTCCCCGCCGTCGCGACCTTCCCCGCCGTCACGCCCTTCACCGCCGTTGCGCCTTTCTCTGAAGGAAACTGCGCTTCTCCCCCTTTATGCGCCTCTCCGCCTTAGCGCGCTGCCTCTCGCCGCCTGTATTGACGCAAGGAATCAAGCCGTTCGCCCTCTATCGCCCGACGTTGCTGCTGCTCCGGGGTAACAGGATAAGGCGTTTGCTTACTACCTTCTCTCTGCACTTGTAAAGCCTCTCCTTTCTGCATGATCGCCCCCCTGTGTGCTGCTTCCATTGCACTTTCAGCCCCGTGCCAGGGCCAGAAAGGCAGCCCTGGAACGACCTGCTACCGTAACAGCGAGGAACGAACTAGGAGTAACGATCAGAGACGCGGCAAATGAAAAAATAAAATATCACTATGTAGAAAACGCGAATTGGATGCGCAGCCAACGCTGCTAACTGCAGCGAGTGATCATGGTGCTGAAGGTAGAAATGGGAGGTTAGAGAGTGAGGAGAAAGTGGGGCAGGTGGTGAGGGAGAGGAGAAGGGGCAACGCAGGACGTGGCGCTTCAAATTTCAAACATTCAAAACTACCGTTTGGGACGCCCGTATCCGTTATGAGGATAACTGAGCCGAGACCGTGATCTTTTTTAAAATCAGGTGCTGTAAAATCGGTCGATCACCTTGGAGGCTCCGCACGTGGGAGCAGCCACACGTCAAAACTGATACAATCTGAACCGTCTTATAGAATCGTCTCAGGTTGATCGCACGGAATGTAGCAGCGGGAAGACCTCGCCCGAATCCCTCCGGGAAACCCCGTTCGCCCCTGCGGGTTTTTCCCGGAGGGATTTCCTTTTTCCCGCCGTCGCCTAGCGAAGCACGCGAGGGGCGGGAGCCAGCCCACCCGCCCGCCCGAAACGAGCCACGCCAGCTCGGAGTGACGCGAGGTGGTCCTCGCTCGAGCTGGCGTTGACCCCACGTGCTCCTCCCGGTCTGCACCAACTCCGCCTGCACCAACCCCCCTGTCCGTCGAGTAAATTCGCCTCCGTCGACGGATTCCGTCTCGACCCGACGGAAAGTGGTGCAGAGAAAAGCGCGGCAGAACGCGCCACAGACCAGCTGACACTGAAATAAAAGCGTATACATAAACAAATAAATACATAAACTGCAATGGGCAAACTTGATAACGAATAGGAGGCACAAAAAAAAGGGGGCATTCCCGACAATTCTCATTAATACGTAATCATCAATTTTAATCTTATTCATGCGCAGGTGCCAGGTAGAACACATGTCGATGGTTTCGCTCGCTACCCGTGCGCCGTAGAGCAAGTGAATATGAACTTAATGAGAATGCATTCTTGTACCACTGGGCCCAGCTTTTCTAGCACGCTGCAGGGACCGACTCAACCGAGTACGAAGACGAGGGTTCAGGCATTACTTTCACCGACCAGTTCGGCGCTGCTTGGTCGAACAGCATTCGCCGAGACCAGCTCGTCGAGCACAGCACGCCGAGCAGTGCCCATGGAAGGGTTTCGTCGACCACTAATGTGCATTAGCAATGCACGTCGGCGTCGTCGACTGGGTCTCGTCGAGCAGAGCCTGCGACAGCATTTTTGTCGTCGACCGTCCCGTCGTCGACATAAAACGAAGTGTTGTCGAAGAGAGTTTGAAAACCAATCACTGCCATAGGTGAACTACCAACCTTTTCAGGTAGTGTAAAAATCATACAATTTGGAAAGCTATACGGTAGTTTGTTGAATATGATGTTTTTTATGTATTTATTACATAGACAAATATGGTCTGTTTGACGGAGTAATAAAATGCAGCTGCCAAACTCTACTGCAACAATAACATTGCTTGTGTCGATTGTCCACGTTCACGATATGTATTAACGTATAGTAAAACTCGAGCATTGTTGATTAGTTATGTGATTGTGAGTCTCGATGCTACAAAGAGAAGTGAAACAGGGTGCTGGCGGCGATAGATATGCTTGGTCGATTGAAATAAACTTCTCGACCGCTATGCTCTGTCTGTCGAAATCTTTCGTTTCGACGACTGGGGATAATGCACAGCTCGACATTTTTTGCGTCGAATGCAGATGCTGACTTGCCAAAATCTAGAAACGGTTTCTGCTGTCGATAATCAATTTCATCGAACAGCGTCTCGGAAATTCCGCCTGTGAAATCGGTGTGAAAATGAGTAAGCAGGAATGAATGAACTAGCAGTGAAATGAGTACAAGTAGGAAACCCTAGAATTGTGTACCCCCTATAGGCTAACCCACTGTAGCCTACACAAGCATAACATATATGATGTTTGACACACCCCCATAGGCAAAGTGGGGGAGAACAAGGGGTCACAAGACCAGTCAAGCAAAGCAAAGCAAGCTCAGGGTGGATCACAACGTCACCACACAGTCCGAGCACAAGAGCAGGGCCAGAGGCCAGTTCACATGCAGGAGTACAGACATATATATATAGAACTAGACAAGCAAGAGCAGGTATAAATATATGTAACAATACAAGTGAAGTCAAGAGGAGAGCAAGTGAGGCAAGACAGGCACAAGACCCAGCTGGGTGCAAAAGCGCTGATGGTCACAAGGCGCGAGTCGCAACTGACCACGCTGCTGCAGCTCACGAGCAAGGAAGTAGCGGAGAGCAATGTGCTTCGTTCTGTGCTCCAAGCGCTGCTCTCGACACAAGGCCAGCATGGCCTTGTTGTCTACGTACAGCACTGGAGGAGAACGAGGCGGCTCTCCAAGGTCAGTCAGCAGGTAGGTGAGCCAGCGAAGCTCCTGTGCAGCCATGGCCCCGGCGTAGATCTCAGCCTCACAACTGGAGCCGAGAACCGAAGACGAGCGAGTAGACCGCCACGAGACAGAGCCGGAACCAAGGCTGAAGGTGTAACCCTGTGATGACTGTCAAACATTATATGTGTTCTGCTTGTGTAGGCTACAGTGGGTTAGCCTATAGGGGGTACACAATTGTAGGGTTTCCTACTTCTACTCATTTCACTGCTAGTTCATTCATTCATGTTCGCTGATTCTGACATGGTATAGAGCGGGTCCTTCTACGGACCGTTTTTTTTTTTGGCCCACCAAAGCGCCCCCCGAGGCGCGATTTTTTTTTAGCGACCCCTCGGGTCGTCATTTTCCCTGCGGCCCCGCCGCTTTCACTGACGCGGCCCCGCCGCCCTCTCTGACGGGGCCCCGCCGCCGGCCCTTACGCGGCCCCGTCGCCGGCTCTCACGCGGCCCCGCAGCAGGCTCTGTCGCGGCCCCGCCCCGGCCTTTACGCGGCCCCGCCGCCTGCTCTCACGCGGCCCCGCCCCGGCTCCTTCGCGGCCCCGCCGCCTGCTCTCGCGCGGCCCCGCCCCGGCTTCTACGCGGCCCCGCCCCGGCTTTCACGCGGCCCCGTCGACGGCTCTGTCGCGGCCCCGCCCAGGCCCTTACGCGGCCCCGCCGCCTGCCCCCGTCGCGGCCCAGTCGCCTCCTGACGGCTCCTGCCGTCACCTTCTACCGGCCCCGCAACTGCACCTGCTGGCCCCGCCGCTGCACCTACCGGCCCCCACCACCCAACCCCCCTTTTCCCGTCGCCTGTCGAGGCGACCTGAGGGGGCCGCTTGCAGAGGGGTGGCAGGTGCGTGGCCTCCCCTGCTTCTCCTCCTCCTTCATCGCTCACCTGCAGCCGCCGAGCAGCCCTGCACCCGAGCCGCCCAGCAGCCGAGCCGCCCTGCCGCCGAGCCGCCGAGTCGCTGAGCTGCTGAGCTGCTGTTGCTGCCAAGCCGCCCTGCCGCCGAGCCGCCGAGTCACCGAGCTGCTGAGCTGCAGTTGCTGCCGAGCCGCCTTGCCACCGAGCCGCCCGAGTCGCCCGAGCCGCCGAGCTGCCGAGCCACTGAGTCGCCGAGCCTACTCTTCCCACCACTGGTGAGCTCTTGCCCTGCTAGCACGCTGCGCGTCGCCTGCTTGCCTGCCTGCCTGCCTTTTGGCTTGCCTGGCTGCCTGCCTTCCTGCTGCTAGTCCTGCTCCTGCTTCTACTTGCGGAGCCAGATGCAGCCCCAGCGACGCCTGCGTGAGTCCCTCACGCCCCAGCAGCTGCGTGAGTGGTACGCTGGTTGGGGCTGTAGGGGTGGCGACGCTACTCCTACTTCCACTCCTGCTGCTTCTACTCGTGGTGGCGGCCAGATGTAGCTCCCGCGACCCTCTCGCGTGTCTCTCACGCCTCGCCAGCTTCGTGAGTGGTACGCTCAGAGTGGAGGGTCTCTCAGTGCTGTTCGCTGCTCTTACGTGATTCGCACTGGTACTCGGACTGGTCAGCCTTGTGGGACACGTAGTCATACACCGTCCCGCTGCTTCGCCCGTCTGAGCGACGCCTGGCGTACCGTGTTTGGCGACGAGGCTGAGCTTCCCGACTGGGTGGAGTTGCTTAGGCAGAGGGTAGATATATATGCTCTTGACTATGATGCTATTCTCACTGCCATGTATGCATTGCCTACTAGTGCTGTCCGTGCCGGTCACCTGTGCGTCCCGCCTGACCCAGGTATAGGACCTGCTGCTCTAGCTACTGGTGAGGCTGCTGCTCTGGGTGCTAGTGAGTCTCCTGCTCCAGGTACAGGTGCGGCTGCTGCTCTAGGTGCTCGTGAGTCTGCTTCCTCAGGTGCGAGTGAGGCTCCGCTCTCAGGTACCGCGTTGGCTTCGGCCTCCCTCACCTTTACACTTGACTCTGGGGCTTCTCGCTCCTTCTTTCGGGACCGCACCACACTCACGCCGCTTGGTCGGCCGGTTGCAGTCTCCCTGGCTGACCCCTCTGGGGGTCCTGTCCTCGCTCACTTCTCCACTGTCCTCCCGTGTCCGGCTGCCCCCTCGGGCACCCTGTCTGGCCTGTACCTCCCCTCGTTCTCGACGAACTTGGTGAGTGGTGCAGACCTACAGGATGCGGGGGTTCACCAGTTCACTCCTGCGAGTCAGCGGGTGACCCACTGCACGGACGCACGCACAGGCCGGCACCTGGCCACGTTCTCGCGTCGGCCGGGGTCGAGCCTCTACACCCTGACCACTGAGTCTCCTCCTGTCCCCGCGTCCGGTCAGGTAGCAGCGTCGGGTCAGGTGTTTGCTGCTGCGTCCAGG